CCTTTGTGAAACCCCTGGGTCGTGAACCGTTTCTTCGCATACTGGCCCTTATTAGCGAAACGGCACCTGGGTGTCACAGCTCGCCATCCTCATTTCCGTGCACTTTTGAGCGCTTCCTCATGCACTACCAGTTCCTCGTTAATTAATGAGCCCGAGCCCGGACCGCACCTCTGCCACCAGATCCGCCTGGAGGTGCCAGAAAGTGACAAAAGAGCAAATTCAACATTCTCCAGACAACAGACAGAGACAGGTGGAAAACCTTTATAATTAGAGAGATTTTATCTCGACCAAGTGCTGGTAAGCTACCACTGCCGAGGTAGTAACACACGCCGAGACCGTTTCAAAAAATAAGTTAACGTCGTGAACAAGGGGCGAGGGTCACCGCATGTCGACAACGACTTCTTCGCTAGGAGGATTTCCAAATACATTCGCGAAGTAAATGCTATAGAAATCCAAGTGCTGTGGAACGGCCATTTTCTGACGGTCAACCTATAACAAACATTATGCATAGAAGAGGAGTTTTCTTAATCCTTGAGACAAAATCCCGTTCTTTACGAAGTCTTCACCTCGTCCAATATCAACAACCGTGGGTTACTTTCTCTAAGTAACGATCTCGCGGCCTCGCAACCGTCCATGTACCGCAGAATCCAAATTTCTCGGAGACTGAAACAGGAGTTTCAGGAATGGTTGAAATTATAGGCTTGGAGTTTGAAACAAGCACGTCGTACGTTGGGGATCCCCAGCAGGAAGTCGTACTAGGTTGCTGGGAAGAGAGGGTCTTATTTGGTCCGTGAACAAATTTGGTCGTGTTTGCCAGTGGTGGTAGGAAGCTGGGAGACGTTGACAAGATAGTAGGAAGGGGGTAGAATGGTTGATGGTGAAGGAAACGAGTCGTAGAAAAAACGGAACAATGGAATTTTTCTGAGAATTCCCCCCCCACCCCACAGCGGCAAACGTGCTCTGGCTCGGACCTCCCAAACAGGACACGTCGTACGTTGGAATTTGGTCCGGTGGGGGGTCGTATTTGCCTTCGAGAAGAACGTTTCCGGTCCTTGGCTTTTCGTGGGTCGTATTTGCCTTCGAGAAGAACGTTTCCGGTCCTTGGCTTTTCTCGGTGTTTTCTGCTTTTCACGTTCACTGTATACATTTCCCCCCTAAACCCTCCATCGACGTCTTCTGAGGACAAAGGGAATAGAGGAGGAAGAACTCCGAAAAAGTAGGAAGTTAGAAGAGTTTGGAAAGATGGTAGGTAGTATGCGGATTTGGAAGGGGGGAGGGGAGGTGGTCGTACCAGAGGAGGCAATTTCAAGGGGGAGGATGTAACTTTTCTTGTAGGTTTGTATTACAAAACTCCCCCAAAGTCAGTATGTGCCATGCTTCAGAATCTAAAGTATCACGGAAATATTACCTCTTCATCCCCGATACTGTGATGAGGCTCTGTCCAGTAACACGAGGGCATCCACGAATGTCGAGTAAAACAATCTGGGATTCTGTTTGGGCTAGACTCCCGATACCGTCATCCGATACGGCAGTGAATGCTATGAACAATTCAACCAAACTAAAGACGAATAAATGAGCTGAGCGAGGATGACGAACTGTTTCCTACCATTTTAATAAAGCTATCGAGCGCAAGACGATGTCGTTCAGAAACTTGATCTCCGATAAGTTTAGCACTCGTAAATTGACTAGAAAATCTGAAATCCTCATCAAATCCACATTTGATAACCCGTTGCAATGGCGAACTTCCAGATTAATCAATTCCTGGAATAGATCAATTCTTCGGAAGCACGTCTGCGAGAAGAGCTAGTGAAATTATGCCAACCTTTCTATGTAGAATATGCTGAAAGCTCCTAGAATTGCTTGAAAGATTATGTACATAGTCGAGATTCAGATGACGCAAATGAGGCATCGTCGACGGAGATGCTAAGTCGTCCATGGCACAATACCCGATTATAGAACCTCTCAGACGGAGACGCTCGATCCTTAAAAAAAGTATCGTTGGAGACGAAAACGACGTTCCTTCTTCGCTGATTTGTATATCATACAACAAATTATTTCAGAATCTTGGGCTGAGGTGATGATCTAGAAACGCTGCTCATAATTCGGTGATTTCCTATCAGATGGAATCACATTAAAGATGAACAGTATACTCATTTTCCTGATTATGGTCTACCCTTGTGCGATGTGTACGGGCCCGCAACTGCAGTAGCGTGAACTTTCTCGGTTTAAAAATGCAGTAAAACGGAGTTGGAAGGTAGCGAACCCGCGAACCGTCTTCATACTCCGCGCACGCGCCCGAGAACCATTTGAGCTCTGAACCTTAGCCAGTGCTACTTGTCTGGGCGCTCTCATCGTTCTCTATCGCTGCGTGCGTGTTTCGCTGCAGGATTTTGCTACCGACGCACATTAAAGGACAGCGCAGGCGCGAACAGTTGATTAATGGACACCGAATCGAGTTCCAAAAATCACAGATCCTTCCGCCGAGGACTTCTGTATCAGTTTCCAGTTCTATTGGGGTACCAATTTCGTCACGAGACGAAGTAGTTTTGGTAATGGTTAACCAATCTTCTTCAAAATTTAGTACTACCTTCTTGTTGACAGTAAACACTTTTCATCCTCGGAAACTTACCCTGCCTATACATTCTTGCTCGAACAATCTAGCAAGACGACTGGATGTGGCAGTGACATTGGTGTACCAGTCCCACGCGCTGATATCTTTTGGCGAAATCTGATGCTACTGCTCCTTTTCGTGACCGTAATTTACTCCTTGACAACATTTCCTCACTTAGGGTCTCCTATCGTCATAGCATGTCTTGAACGATGAGGCAATCCCCAGTGCCTTATCAAGGCCTTCCTGTTACTCCGTCTCCATGACTTCGTCTTTTGTTGGCCTTCTTACAGTATTTTTTCTTCTTCACCTTCAGTGCGAATCATGGCAAGGAAGGAAACTTCTTCAGAAAGCCCTTCTCCAATGAATGTAGAGCGTACGGCATATGCTTATACATCACAAGCTTCTGGTTTTCGATGATTCCAGTTTCTTCCCGCGGGCAACATCGATGCTCTCCACAGCATATGTTGCACGTCTCTCTATGTGGCACGTGTTCTCCGCCAGAGTTGATCCTGAACTCACTGGGGATGGTCACCACGTCGAATAGCCATTTGTAACGAGAGCTACATCACGAGACGTGTTTTAATGCTGATTTCAAATCTGCGTTCAAAATTTGCAGCGATTCTCTGAACGGAATTATGAGGTTTGTTCGACTGAAGGGACAGGGAGTCGAGCGCGGTTGCCAGCCAGTTGCACTAATAGCCGTTAAGCGCAAACCCAATCAACGGCAGCATGGTGTAGTGGTAAGGCTCTTGCTTTATAGGGTGACATGGAAGTTCGGGCTCCGCGGAGGGCGCCTTTTTGCATTTTGTAAGGAATGTCTCTTTTGAGTCTAGAAAACACTCAAACGCCAAATGGGTGTCATATTCGTGTTCAGGGAGCAAAACTACCCCTGGGACAGGTTTCTAGCCAAATGTGAGGTTTTGACCTAACTTTGAAAAAGTGCGGTAGCAGTTGATCGAATGATGGTCACCAGTAGTTCTAGGATCAGTTTCTTATCGATTGCTTATCTTCGGACGGGAATTGCTTTTAATACCAGGAAAACTGGAGCAGTAACAAAATGAAAGCGTCAGAAATGGCAAGATGACGCTTTGCACAGTAGAATGCGTCTGTAGCTGAATAGGTGTGGACATGAAATGATTTGCACCCTATTGATGCTTCACTTTTCGAATTCACGTCAAAATACCAGATTTGGCCAGAAACTTGTGTATAAAGGTACAGTCCTCATCATTGCGGACCGGTGGGGCGTGTCAGCCAGTATGAGTGTGCACACTGTTGAAGCCGTTCTCAGCCTTTTTTTGAAACGCGTATGCGACAAAAAGTGGTAGAAAACGAGTAATACGAAGGATATAATACAGTAATGTCACTTGCCCGCTTCAACAACTGGTGCAGAACGACTTTGGCACCGCGCCAAACGCAGCCGCACTGACACGCCCCACCGGTCCGCAATGATGAGGACTGTATGTTGACCCGCTGAACACGAAAATGACACTAGCTGAGCACAAAACGCCTGTATCGCGCACGACGGGCACCTGTACGCCCAATCTTTTCCTGCACTACAAGGCTTCTACAAGGAGCCCAAGCGCAGTAATAAATGGACGCAAACTTTCTTCAGGCAAGTTTAGGTGAGCACTGAAGTAGTAGTGACAGGGAAACCAATTTTTGCCAGTTCGTGCAGGAGGCAAAAAAGTTAAACTTGCAAGGATCCGATCTCATGACCTGTTGCGTGATAGACGCGGAGGAAAAAGCTCAATAACTCCGTTCAGAGAATCGTTCTGCAAATTTCAAAGGCAGATTTGAGATCAGCGTCCAAAACCACGTCCCGTGAGCTACGTCTCATTACAAATGGCCACTTCGACCTGGCGACCTTTCCTAGTCAGATTGAATGGCTGCCGACGTGCCAAGCGGGGATTTAATGTAGCTGAGGCGTGTCCGGCCCGGATGGATTTCCAGACATTGCAGAGACAGTCGTTGAAGCGGGTGAGTGACAACAGTCGGTGAAAAACGACTCATAAGAACGAGATAATACAGTCTTGTCGCTTGGTAGCATAGTAAGAAACTCACGACTTCGGCATACACTTGAAGGAGATGTTGCTTATATTGGCATTTTCAATTGTGAGAGATCGCAATTTCTCCATTTTTCTGCTCATTAACGAAAGCACATGGTTAGTGATAGTGGACGCAGTGTTCAGTCTTGCAGAACGGACCACATAACCTTCTATGCTAAAAGCATATTCATGAAAAATTATCTCGATTGCTGAAAACGCTCACAAAAGCAAAAAGGTTATGTAATAACTGCACAAACTGCGCCACCATGAGCCTCGTTTCCTATGGAAAAAGACTCCCTCGAAAGGCCGCCCTTTGAAAAGACCCATAGACGTCTCCAACGCGAATTCCCTTCAGGTGCAGGTTTGCATTGTGAGTCTGGACAACAAGACTGCTCCATCCCCGCTCCTCCTCCCACCCTGCCACTCCTTCTCCTTCCCTATTCTTCCACTCTATCGCAGATTACCTCTTTTCTAAATCAGCATCACTGCTCATCGAAAGGGCTTGTGAACTGATCGGCAAAACTGACCTAATCTCGTTGCGAAAAATGCAAGGAAAAAAAACTTCTGGTCGAAAAAGCAGAAAGCTAACCTCAAATGAACGACCTTTGCTGCCAAAGGCGATTTTATGAAGGCGGTAAGCTGGCGGAGAGTCAAGCGTGAATCGCCTGAGAACTCAGCATTTTGCCAGAACGTGTCGTGTCGGCTCACTCTGTACCATCGTCGAGAAATCCTAGGATTGTTGGGATTGAAGATGTGAAAAAAACACAGTAACTCTTTTTCACTCGCAACACTATGCAAAATAGGTAGGCCAGAGAGAGAGAGAAGCTGCCTTCTTCATCGCGCCATCGACAACTATTTATAGTGAAATGGTTCCGGAAGCTGTAGCGGAACAGAGAAAGTTGATTATATAACTCAGACGCAGCAGCGTTCAAAGTCTTGCACGGGCTTTCAGGTCTGATGGAAAATATGAATTCGTTGATGCACAACTAACAGCGAAGAAAGGATGAATTGTCGAAAAAAACGTACTGGACAAGTATGCGAAAAAGCGAGACAGGCTGTGCGGCCGAAAGACCAGAAACAAAGGACGAGACAAGAGGAGCGAGCCAGAAGACGAGCGAGACAACAAAAGTCACCACAACGGAAACTCCATGCATCACATCTGTGTATCGTCTGGGTTTATAGACTAATTATCCCATCCTCGAATGAGTGAGACAACTCCTGTGTATAACGTTCTAGACAGTACCGCCTACATTGGGAAGTTATTCACCGTGATCAACATGTGTCAAAATGACCTGAAGACCTGAAGACGTCAACGAAAAGGGAAAACCAATGAACGTTCTGAGAGAATCATGATGTGGGCCGCAACAACGAATGAGGTGCCTCCACAGGCTTCAATACAACACTGCTACAACCAACACAGAAAAGGAAAACAGACTGAAAGGCATTTTGATTTTGCAGTCCAAACTTCAATTTTAATGCTCGTGCTCGTGCTTGAATGAAACAGTAGACCGGCTCACAGGTCAAATGCGATGGTGCTAAAACTACCACTCCATGTTTTTTTTTGCCGGAATTCATCCATCGCTTTTCAAAACTAAAGCATCCAACAACCCCTATGTCAAAGTAACAACGCGATCCAAAAGGTCCCACATACAGAACAAGGCCAACTTATCCTGCAATCTTGCTCGGTGGAGGAAGCGACTGAAGGTTCACCACGCAACCCTGTGAAATAGTTTGTACCGCCGTGAACAGTCGGAGGCGGTATGATAAAGGCATGACGAGCCCGCCTGCCTTTATCTCTACCAATAGCAATCGGATAGTGATCGACGCAGGAAGAAGACAACCATGGGATGAGTCGTCCCATACATTTGGAAATG